TTTTTTCGAAATTTGACTTGAAAAGAGTAAGAAACTCGCTGGAAACTGCAGGAATCTACCCACAGTGGCCTAAAATTTGTGATTTCGCCGGGAACTTGCCGGAAACTGCCTGAAAATCACCGGAACCCTAATTCCGGTGATCGGATCTAGAGACAACTGAATGGGTTCTGGTCGGAAATACTGGGCGACCCCAACAGAAGAAAACAACTCGAAAAAAGATGACCGGAACAGTACTCACGCGCCGGCGCGTGAACAGATCTCGCCGGAAAACTTCCACCTCTGATCGGCGCGTGGGGGCGCGTGGGGGGTTGTTTTCCGGTGGAAATTCTTGGGGTTCGGTCGCCTGAGCTTCCCGAGCCTCGTGATGGTGTTGTCTTTCGCACAACACCTTCAGAACGAAAGATGACACAAATCAGTCCCAACCGTCGTCGCCGGAATTTGACACGGTGACTTGAAGTTTCTCACCAATGCTCTGATACCATGTGAGAAATATATGGGAAAAATAATATTGAATTGTGTATCTAAATTGTTACATTGAGACCCTATTTATAGACAATACATATACATTGAAACCCTTTTCTAACTAGGATTCCTATTCCTATTCTTCTTCCTATTCTAAGTAGGAATATATACATATTTCTATTCTAACAATATTGAACAAGAAAGATTCCGCCATCGATACTAAGAGTAGGATCTACATTCTCCAAGTCAACACCTCTTTGAAAAGTCATGCAGGCTTTGATAAAAGGATTGTGAATCACAAACAACTAACAGAGACAACATTTTAAGACTACTGTCTTTACTTTTGCAACTGTATAATTTCCGGTAATAAGAAAAAAGTAGATCCAGATTAATGATGGGAGACTATCTATCTTGGTTGGGAGATCGGATCAATCCCGTAGGTGGACTATAGGTTAATCTTAGTTTTGAGCCAAGTGAGGAGTATGATTCAACTAAGGAAAATATATGATGATGAACAAAGGGTTGACTCAGAAATTTATTAACCAGAAAGTGGTGCCGTCCACTCTCGCAAATTAAATAGCTTCATGTGTCACATGGATAGAGTTTTAAGTTATGTACACCGTCCAGTATAAAACATTGTCACACCTATAAATTATGAGTTTTAGTAGAATTCAGGTCATCAATTGATATATATAGATATGTATTTTGATAGTCTTGGAAGAATCAAGAATGTAACCATAACAGGTAGGACCAGCCTGAGAAGAAAAAAGCTATAGTATCTGATTGTCTGGTACCTACCATTTCCACTCATTATTTGGTCCAACAAATAGCAAGAGAGCTAACTAGAAAAGACATCAATATGGACTTACTGGACATACCTATTTTCATTTTTTTCTTCTTGCTCGATATAGTAGGGTCCTCCTCCACGAGGTAGTGGGCGTACACTCTACCCTTCCCAGACCCCACTTTGTGGGATTTCACTGGGTATGTTGTTGTTGTTGTTGCTCCTTATAGTGTCACACCAATATGATTCTGGTTAAACGGGGCATTCCTCAGCTGGGAGACTAATGACCAAAGGCTAACATAGCTAGTCAGAATTCAAGATTACTCTTTAGAGCACTCCTTTTCTGATGACATTTGAACAATGTTTCCCAATTGAAAATTCTAAAATAGATAATGTTAAGGTTGTTGCCAATTTTTTTAGATTAACTGTTGATGCAATAACTCAATTCGCCTCTCTGATGCTTTTTCCTTCAATTGTTTTAAGTAGTATAGCAACTGTTTCTGCTATAGTTTCAACATACTCTAGCCAGAAACCTTCAACATGATGATTTTGCCAGGTGAGCCTTTAAGTTGACTCAAATCACATGTACCTAAGGATCACGGATCGCTTAATTAGTAATGAGGTTCCTAAATCATCAAATTTCCCAAAGATGTAGCTTTAACATGTGCCCCTAATGCATTGCAATCTTAGATCAAGCAATGCAAGACCAGATGGAATGATAAGGACTGCAGATGCAAGCAGAATAAAACGCACATCTAACCGCCATTTTAGAACCATCATAGCATCATGAATTCCCCACTGAGCAGATAACGTGTAGTCGAATTCATGGAAAGAAATTCTATTAGAATGATAGTCTTGTTTTCCTTCTGTCTTTGGATTTGAGGTGATAGATACACTTTTATTTTCATTTTGATGAAAAAAGACTGAACTTGGTTAAGGTCATAGTGGATGGTTGATGTGTACAGGTTGCATCCCCTGGATGAAAAAAGACTGGACATTTTTTGAAGGAGACTAAAAATAGCAAAGAATGAGTGGTTTATTTGAGCATCCAACAGAACCAGACTGTCAATTTTACTCAAATCACTTGGAATAATTTTCAGTTTTAGTTATTAATCTGTCATACCATTCTCCGTTTCCCCGTTGGAGCGGATATTGTGCGTGCGCATGTATATTCATTGAACACAGAGCTACCTATTGCATTATTTAAGCTTACCATTGTTGGATCTTGAGTTGAATTTTATCTAACCTGTATGAAACCAGTGGGTGCAGTTAATTCAATGATCATAGAGTTTTCTATGTACATAAACTGATACCTTCAGGACTTTTTCTACATACAATCGTTAAGTTGTGATATACAAGGTAAACTGGTTTAAGATTGGATGTATCCCTCTTTGATTGCAGCTTCTGTCACCTACTAGAGCCACATAATCTGACTAGCTCATTTAGATTTAGACTGAAAAAATGGCATCTCACAGTTTTTTTTTTATGACTATGGTGTCCGGGCCAGCTTTCCAAGGGATACCTGCCACCTCCCATCAGTAACAGATACAAGGTAATGGCATCTCACAGTTCCAAACTAACACAATCATTATTTGGCCACAATAAACTTGGTGAACCTTCTTAGCACAAAGTAGACAATAATGAGCCTAGCCAAATCAGTTACTCAAGGCTGCAATCTAGTCGCAGCGCAACCAGAATGCTGCCAACAAGTATCAGAGGCCAAAAAAAGGCAGCCTGGTGCAGTAAGCTCCCGCTATGTGCAGGGTACGAGGATGGGTTAGACCACAAGGGTCAATTGTACGCATCCTTACCCTGCATTTCTGCAAGAGGCTGTTTCCACGGCTCGAACCTGTGAGACTGCAATCACTAATTTAGACAACTAGTAACAGGTCAACCTTATTGCAGATGCAAACAAATCTGGGCTGTACTTAGTAGGATGTGAAAACTGAAATGTACAATGGTATTCCAGAAAAATGCCCTGTCAAAATGAGGAAAATGACGTCCGACACTTATAGGTGGAAGTCATTTTCCTTTTACAAATATCCCCACACTTATTCAATTTCACTTGTTATGATCAATACATAGACATCACTATTGACAGTTAACATCCAAAACTATCACCAGAAACATTATCTTTATAACGTGTCCTACACCTTGTACAATTAGCTTATGCCATGTATTTGTTTTGCCATCCAATCAAACACGGAATAATCAATTTCCTAAGGGAGAACAATATTTTCCATGAAAAACATTTTCCTCCATATGGGACGCACACCAGAATCTCAAATTGCAATATGCATTATAGCCATTCAATGTACCACCAAAGCAGAATTATGGCTGCATTTTACATACATGATGCAGGTGTAACTGCGACAAATGAATTATCTAAGAGGAAATACATAGTAGTATTCTTATCATGTAATCTATTTAGCCCACAAATCATCAAGAACTGAATCATTTTGCTGCCAAAACAGAAATATTTGCAGATAAAGTACTAAAGACATTGGTACTTGAAGCTTCAGCTCTATCAAGACGCTGTGACCTGAAAAACCATATTCTTCTAAAACAGATGCCAAAACTTACATTAAATGATATTTATCCATAAATTTACAAAATCTGTAAGAAGCAAGCAACAATTCACAAACAAAGGAGAAGATGATGTTTCTGTACAATATAACTCAACCAACATGAAAAGGACCAATATCACCAGTTCGAAAAGAGGCAGCAACCTCATCAGCAATAGTCAAGCAAGAGACTACCCAACCACTCAATGCCATCCACACCAGCTTAGCCATCCACAGTGTTGTACTCCATGGAACCGCCATGATCCAAGATTCAGCAAACCCAAAAAAGCAATCACCTTTCTACACCAAAACCATTTATAGAAAACCCCAAATCCTCACTTCATCAAATAAATTTAACCCAAAAAGCAATCACCTTTCCACACCAAATCCATATATAGAAAACCCCAAATCCTCAGTTCATACCCAAAAGGGATCCAAGATTTGTCCTTGACCAACCACCAAACTTTCAAAACAGGTTTCTGCTTCAACAGCTGCAAAGAAGTTCATACATAAGACAAAAAGTGGGAATCAAGATCCTGTGAAAATCCTTTGATTTCACAAAAGGGGTATCAATCATATTATTAACCGACTTTACCATTTAAAGAATGACATTTTTTGTGATATGGATTTGTTAACCATTTGTATGCCTAGTGCTGTCGGCAAAAGACAAGTGTCTGCACCTAAATAAGCTAAATTTCCAATTTGGCCCCTATTTTTTGGTATTCGATATGGTATTTGGTATTTAGAAACAATATGTCGAGATATCGAATACGAGTTATTGGCTAAAATCATTTCTCAACTATGACTCAAATCTAATATATATCCTTATATTATCTAAGTGAGCAAAAAACATCTTTATACTATCCAAAAAATAACAAGAATCATCATTCAATCTATTTTTGTTAAAAAAACTGATTGAACCAATAATAAAAAAATTAATTTGATCATGTCTTGGCCACGATGAGAAGATCAAAGTTACCTAAAAAGAATAAGGATATGAATAGGAAATGAATCTTTCATTCTCAAAATTTAAATTTTGTGTGTTGTTAGTTTATATGTTTTTTGCATCTTCAAGTAAATTGACTTGCAATAATACATAAGTTTTGAAATATTTATACACTGGGTTCCGATGGTTAGAAAGATTATGTAAAAAAAATTCATTTTAAAAATATTATGTCCAACTATTTAGAGATTTACTTTAATAAAATATTTAGGGTGTATGTACTATATATACAGTGCAGTTTACATTTTCTACAATGTACAGAAATGCTGAAAATTTAGTGAAATTACGTAGGCGTTTAGTTATGAAAATAAAAAAATAATTACTTTATTCGAAAATTTTGAAGTTAGAGTAGTATTTGGCCATATTTTTACAAAGAATATTTAGAATTTGAATATATTTTGTCTAAATATGATTTAAACCCTTAATTTCTAAAAATTAAAAAATTCACTTAACTTGACTAGATTAACCATGTGTACATATATTCATTTGACTTGACACATTTTTTGTTGGTGGTGTGAATTTCTTAAAACTATAGACAGAAGGATGAATCTTGCAACCTTTTGGATAGTTTAAGGATGTTTTTTGTTCACTTATATAACACAAGGATGTACTTTAAGTTTAGGTCATACTTTAGGGATGATTTTAGCCAAAAACTCTACCGAATACCATACTGAAGTATATAGTCCCATAAATAACACACACGCACGCACGCACGCACATATATATAATTAAAATACTAACAAATATGCAACCTAGTATTAGTATATACTAAATGCTTAGAAGTTGAAAGTTTGACTACTCTATTTTGATGGAAATGTATTCGAAATTTAATTGATTGACAAAAGGAGTTGTTTGTATTTTATTTTGAATATATATTTCAACATGTGTAATGTGTTATTTTGATGGAAATGTATTCGAAATTTAATTGATCAACAAAATGAGTTGTTTGTATTTTATTTTGAATATATATTTCTACATGTGTAATGTGTTAGTATGATACAATTGAGATTTTTTTAATTGTCAAAGTCATAATACTCTATTATACAAGTATATATTAGTCGAAGTTGCACAAACTATGGTTATTGATTTATCATACCGTAAAATATCGAAACCGAGCTTCAAATACCAAACCATACCGAATTGAATTGGTATGGTAATGATATAATGTTTTAAAAACCGAATACCAAAATTTCAGTATCAAAACTTTAAAATACCATCCCATACCATGCCCACCCCTAGGGCCCTCCAACTTTGAATGTGCATAAATAGACACTTAACTCTGTATAAAATTGAACAATCCTACGTGACATAATACATGTAAGACCACAAATTGTCATATAGGATGCCACATAGGACGTGTGTCTACTTGTTCAATTATATACAAATTTAAGTGGTTACTTATGCACACCAATAATCGGAGGACACAATTGAGGCCAAATCAAAAGACAGTTTTATGTATTATGCCAATACAATAATAGCAAAAACTATACTAGCTCAAAAAAGTAAAGGTTAATTGACTGCAGGGTCACAAGACATCTTGTAAAGTAGAACATTTTAGGCTAATAATTACAATTCAAGAGCACATGAATGATAGCACATAAAATGCCTCTTCTACTGCCTGGAAATGAAGTACTTTACAAAAGGCAAAAAATGTCATTTGGTTTAACAGTTGAACCTTTATATCTCTACAAGTTTATGGATGAGAATGTTGATTACTGGCGAACATCAGTACGCATTTTATAACGCTTTGCCAATCGCGTAGCAGTTCCACTGTTAAAGACATGTTGAACGAGTTCATACTTATTGTAGATTGCGTTCAAGGACTCTCACTGCTCTTTAGCTAGTTGTTCTTCCTCCTCCAATTGACGCTACGTGAAGAGAAGGAACCATTTAGGACAACAATGTATTATAACCATGAAATCAATTTTATGAGCAAATATTCACCTTGAGCAAGAAATTGGCTTCTTTTGCATGTTTCCTAACTGTACGCTTCATCTTTGTGGCCACTTCAAAATCAGGTTCATTGGATTTCAACCAGTAGCACATTATCGTCCTATCAGGTTTCCTTGGGCGATCATCAAGCATCTCAACTACAGCAGGACGTGCCCTAACAGGTCTTGGCATGCCCGAGATCATGAAAGGGGAATTTCGTATCTCAGAGATGATTGTTCTTGCCTCATCTGCATTCTGCATCTCAACTAAAGCAGCTCATCCCATCCCTTTTAGTTCAAGGTAGGTTCGGATTAACTTGACCTGAATGACATTTCCGAACTGATCAAGTGCAGCTTTGATAACAGACTCCTTAACCAAAGGTGAAAGATTGTCAATATAGACGCTACGTTTCACTTTATTCTCAAAGGCAGCATACTCCTCTTCAAATACAGCTTCCATGAGATGTAGAAAGTAAATTTCCCCAAAATACAAGCAATTCACCAACACCTTCAGAAAAAAACAACTATCAGGGTTCCATGATGCCACAGAAAATCATCCAAATGCAAGTGAAGCAAATTAACCATCTCACTGTAAACAGCTATCAGCTCGAAACTTAATCAAATTATCATCCCTCAGACTACCACATCAGTCGAACAACGACATACTAAATGAAATATCATATTGACAAACAATTTGTCAACTCGCGGGAGAATTATACCATAATGTCAACATTTATTCATTAACAGAAAGGGAAAAAAACAGTTCCAACATAAAAACTTGACTATCAGAACTCACCTTTCCATGAATTTCTGATAGTACAACAACAACAACATACCCAGTATAATCCCACAAGTGGTGTCTAGATCGGCTAGAGTGGACATAGACCTTACCCCTACCTCGCAAATAAATAGATGCTATTTTCGAGAATTTCTGATATATAGTAATCTTACTAATACTCTGTATTCCCCAAATAACTATAACAATGTGATTTTGCTACTGTGCTACTAGCCTGCATTGAATCTTAACAAAAGAATGAAACTTTTCCAATCAAACCAAATTTTCTTAAGCCAACTGTTTTCATGTTTCCTTCAACTAATGCCATTACAACCTCAAGAAGCATAGCAACACTCGAAAAAAATAAAATAATCACAGAAGAAGAAAAATCAAATTATCTGGATTAATCAAAATGGGAATATTAACATCTTGGTCTTTCTTCTATCCCAATCTATGATCCAACCTAACCTAGCTTACAAATATAACGAAATCTCAAAATCAGCAATTATTGTATTCACATTGAGAGAAAACCCCCAAAAATTTCACATTAGTATGGTGATTTGTGAAATATCTATCCGATCCGAACAAGAAAACACACAACAAATGACAAATCAATCGAATTGTTATCACATTTCAATCAATAAAGAAAAATGTATGAGTAGTAAATTGAATGGAAAAGGGCTTTGGGTTTCGCCATTTTACCTTTGGATACAAGAAAATTGCTTCTTCTTAACTGCTACTGTCTGTTTGAGCTTCCATTTGAAATTCACACTGCGCACATATCCTCTTCGTGTGAATTGGAGAATACAATGTAATTACGCCAAAGCAAAATCCAATTACCAGGGTGGCTTTCCAAACAAGCCCTTACTATTCTTATACACCCGACCAAACAACTCACCTTCTATAATTCTTACCAAGTAGTGAAAGAATTTGCCACAGTCTAACTTGGTTAAATTCATTCTTCCACAAAGACCTTATATTTCTGGGAATAGATGAAGTATATATTTCAGACTAGATAACAAATACAACCATCAAATAACTTATTCATGCTACTCTACTTCTATGTTGTTCAGACTCTCCAAAGCATCTGATAGGATCTCAAGAACAGAACCAATTCTGGAGGATCCAACTTTAGTGGCAAGTCCAGACAACATATCTCTACTCTGTAATAATATAAAAAAGAGACGACCAATACAAGGAATACAAATACTATTTCCTTGAGCTTCAACCAAAACAATAAGATATAGAATAATAAAACATCACAATTATATTGTCTTAAGCTTAAACCAACAATATTCCATAAATTCTAACAGTTGCTTTTCCTCCCTTTTACATTTACACTATAGACTTAAGATAATCCACTTTCAATTACTAACAACATTGACAACAGCAAAGCTAAAGCTTGACCCCAGCCAAAATGATGCACACACCTCACATATTACTCTATGTCCCGACCTTCCTTCACCTACATAAAAGCACAAGAGAGTTAATAACTTGCAGATGCTGAAATTTAGTCATTAATTCTTTAAAGTTATGAAACTTGAAGAAAAGTAAAAAGGAATGCATAGCCGATCTCATTACCCTTGGCCTAACGATCGGGAAATCCAAAGATTGATCTAGATGCCGCACCACCTTAGCTTGAAAATATTCCTTCTCGCCATTTGTAACCGTAAAGGTAATAAAGAAATTGATGTCTTTACAGCCAGATCCATTAACCTTGAGAATATCCTTGACCTCATATTTAGTGTCCTAAAATGAATCCACAGAAACTTTCTCAGCTTTCTAGAGAAAACAAGGAAAAAGAACAACTAGAAAGACAATGGGAAGTGTGACTAGAGCATACATTTTTCTCATTGTACTGCCCAAGTGCCTCTCCAGCATAGCCCTTCAACATTTCAAAATTAGCAGGACCTTTTAAAAAGTTGGGGTGTACGGTAGCCAATCGACAGAAACCAGGATAATCTCTAATGTCAAATCCCCATCAAAGTACAAGTCACATATATATATTAGACCAAAATTATACAATAAAAAGAGAAAAGAAAGCCACATGTATATATAAATATAAAGCTGGAAAAACAATCTGATGTGCGGAATGCTCCAATTTTTTCTCAAACTTTTGGCCAGCTCCCCTTTTTCTTCTATTAGGGCCTAAAGATGGTAACAGTTGAAAGCCGAAAACAATTGAAGCAGAAAAGTTGAGCATTTAAACGTCACGCTTTTGGCATCCATATGACAACTTCCAAAAAAGCACGACGAAGTTATGCTAGAAAACATGAGCAGGCATATTATAAACTCTTTTCTTGAAGTCCTTAAGTTAGGTAGGGTATCAATTAATGTTTTTCTATATATCCATTAATGTCTTTCCTCACTATCTTTCCTAAACCCCTTTTGAGTTCCTTTAACTATCATAGTCTTGCCAGCAGCCAAGTTTCATTGAAAATCCAGCTAAGACATAACAAATTATAGAGTTAGCCAGTTGAATAAGATACTATTTTACCTAATGGAGAGGTGAGACCGGATATTGAAGCATGAAATGTCATGTTAGAAATAAGAATATATGCAGGAGGTAATTTGGAGAAAGACCAGACCACAAAGAATCTACTGTTTCTACCGCTTGAACTTAACTTGTGAAGAATGTAATAGTCCAATATTTGCATATATTATTTTTGTACATATTTGTGAATTGAGAATCTAGTGTAATGGAAGGTTGAAGATAAGGAGGAAAGTGAACAATCAGTGAAAAACAGGGAATAGCAACAAACAGAAGTTAGCGATGGAGATAAAAGATGATACCTCACTCTCACGGACCTGTTGGAAGTACCTCTTCCAAAACTCTCTATCCTTTTTTTCCTCACCAGGAAGGATAGGGGTATACAATTCTTCAATTAATTCTTCTATACTCGGGTTGTCATAGCTGTCATCCGACCGAGGAGATAGTGGCTCAGAACATACAGAGTCACTATCTTCCTCATCCACCCATTCTTCTCCCGATTCTTCTACATCTTCATCCGATTCATCTACATTTTCCAAATCCGATTCGTTTCTGCTCTCATCTTGCAGGAGCAGCAGCTGTGGAGGTGGAGATGGCAGCAGCGATGGCGGTGGAGACATGACCACGAATTGACAAAACCCCAAAACTAAACTTTTGGTTTCTTATACGTAATTACCATATTTATAAAGTTTTTGACAATCCTTTTCCCACTCCAACTTTACTTTCAAAATTAAATTCACAATATTTTAACTTGACGTATATTTATTAAAAGAAGAACTTTCACATATAGTCATTTAAAATAGTGTATTTACTCTTTATAGTTATAGTTTGATTATTACAATTCGTAGTTACATGTTATATTTAAAGAGAAAATTATGTGGTTAAGCCAACTTATATCACTTAATTACTTATCATAACTATAGTTTGCTATAATTACCACTTGCGACTAACATTATACATTAATTATGTGGGCTGACTTGGAATTTGTATAATTAGCTACGTTTGTAGATGTATAATTTGCCAGAATATACAAATACACATGTATAATATACAATTATCTAACCGATATACATATACAATTCATCTCTCTCCCACTCTCTCGCTCACCTCTCTCCTCCCTCTCCCAATCTCGCTCGCCTCTCTCCCCCTCTCCCAATCTCGCTCGCCTCTCTCCCCCTCTCCCAATCTCGCTTGCCATATATACAAATACATATGTATAATATATAATTCTCTAACCGATATACATATACAATTCACCTCTCTCCCACTCTTTGCCCTCTCTAGCTAGCCTCTCTCCTCTCTCTCCCAGTCTCACTCGTCTCTCTCCTCTCTCTCCCAGTCTCACTCGTCTCTCTCCTCTCTCTCCCAGTCTCACTCGTCTCTCTCCTCTCTCTCCCAGTCTCACTCGTCTCTCTCCTCTCTCTCCCAGTCTCACTCGTCTCTCTCCTCTCTCTCCCAGTCTCACTCGTCTCTCTCCTCTCTCTCCCAGTCTCACTCGTCTCTCTCCTCTCTCTCCCAGTCTCACTCGTCTCTCTCCTCTCTCTCCCAGTCTCACTCGTCTCTCTCCTCTCTCTCCCAGTCTCACTCGCCTCTCTCCTCCCTATGACATGTAGCAACGAATTGTAATTATCAAATTATAGCTATGGAGAGTAATTAGGCTATTTTTGAGTGGCTATATGTGAAAGTTCCTCAATAATAAATAATAAGTTATGCTGGATTATTTTTTAGTAATTATTTAAATTGTTGTATTCAAAATAATATGCATTGCCTAATTTATAAAAATAAGTTGTTTATTTAAAAAATACATTCCAACTTACTTAACTTTTATATTTTCTTGGCTTAAGTCATTTGTAGCCTCTGCATAATTCATTTAGACACCTCAACTAAGACTTGTACATATTGAACACACGTACCCTTCCGAATTTAAGCCATTTTAACATTTTTTGCCAGGTGTCACATTGTTTGTGATTCACGCTGTATAAGTGCGTGAAAAGGTATTAGATTAGGCATTTTTTGTGGGAAAACATATTATTTCTTCTTCATGTTCTTCATCTTCTTTGTCATCCCTTCCTCCACCGCACCACTAGTTCATCGATGTTGTCGTCGCTACACACCCTTCTTCTTCCTCTTTTTCACCGGTTACTTCAGATTACTTGCATTGCTGCTTTTTTCTTTTAGCTCTGTTGCCATTCATATTAGAATTGGCAGCACCATCACTAATTGCCACTGCCATTTCACTATTATTACCGTCATTTTTATCATATTAATTGTAGAGGACTTTAAGTTTGAAGTTTGTCTCTTTGCTGTTAATGTAGTGATTTCGTGTTAAATTAATGTCCAGTTATGTAAATTTTATTGGAGGATTTTTCTAGTTATTATTTGCTTTGCTCAAATTTTTAATAAAGTTTTTTGTTTGTCCTGAATATGTTGTTTTTACTATAAATTGATGTATATTAATTGGCAGAATGTAAAGATGTTCTTCAACCAAAAAAATTAATCGGTTATAAAACACTAAGAAATCCGAGATAACTTTATTTTCCCCGACAATGACAATCAGATCAATCATTTCCCAACGAGTGTTTTTTCATCTTTCTCTACCTAAATCAGGACAAAGAAGAAAGTTATAATTGAAAAATAGGCTGAGGGAGAGGGAATGTTGTGGTGAAGAAGATGACACTAAAGAGGGAAAGACTAGTTTTAGACTGCCATGGATAGCAGGGGAAGTGGGGTGGGCAACTTTTTTTCATTTCTTTTTACTTAAAAATAATTTTTTTTCTTTACTTTATAATATAATTTTTAAATAATTTTTTGGACTCAAAAATAACACATGTCATTATTTTATTAGTCTAATTGACATGTCATCGTGAGTGTATTTCACACATTTTCTACTTTTAGCTTATTCTCAAAAAAATGCTCAAATGGTTCAAATCTGAGAGGGTAGAGGTGTTCAATAGGTACAAGTCCTACATAAGGTATTTAAGTGAATTATGCGGACAACTTTAAGGGGCCGCAGATGACTTAAGCCAAAAAAATATTACAGCCCATACCCCCCATCCATGAAGGCTAATAATTTTCTCTTAACTGATACTAAATTTGTATCATATATTGTAAGGAAAAAGGTTTGAAAAATACTCCAACTTTGGCCGAAATTGTTGTTACGATACCGAACTTTATGGAGGACCTTTACCCCCATGCACTATTTAATAGTGTATTTTAAAGGTAAATATGTGTCCACATGGACACATTACTATTTATAATGATGCAATATTTATGATGTCCACGTGGA